CCGCTCGCCGGCATGCTGGGCGGCCCCGACGCGTCCGAGCGCTTCGAGCAGCGGCCGGCGGGCGTGCGCGCCCGCCTTCCCCCGCAGCCCGCGCGAGGAAGGCACGAGCCTGCCGAGGCGCGAGGGCGCCCTGCCCCGCCCACGGGCGGGAGTGCGCGACCTCCTCGCGCGGCGGGAGCGAGCGGCTCGCGCCGACAACACGCGGTTGCCGACTGCGGGGCCCCCCTTTGCGGGAGGTAAAGACCAGGCCGAGGAGGGGGAGCTGGGTCCCGTGTTCTTGGCATCGCTCGGACGTGTGCATTTTTCCTTCGGCGAGGACCATCGAGGAGCATCCTTGATCACTTGGCGAAAAAAACACGCACGAAACCGAACAAAAGCACAGGGAATGTACGTCCGAGCGATGGCCAGGGGGGAGCTGGGTCCCGTGTTGGCTCTTCGCCTCCTTCACATCGTATACTCCAGGACCTGGAGGACCTCCCGGGGGACGGAGCGAGCGGAAGACGCCGACCAGGGCGGCTCCCAGGTCGAAGAATCATCAAAATAGTTATCAGCACTGGTGAAAAACCACCGGCACAGTATGTCGCGAAGACAACGAGACACGATGTTCGAATTCGTGACAGCACCTCCGGTGCCAAAGTCTTGCGAAAGTAGCTCCCTTCCTGCCACTTCGCGCCGTTGCGGGTCCCAGAAGAGCTGGGCAGCGCGCACCGGGGTGAGACAGCGGCCCACCTGGTGATGCGGCTTCCGTAAATCATCTTTGCTGCCTGCAGGCGGCTCGCCGAAGGCCAATTGCGAGGCCACTGTCTGAGCGAGAGTGACCTCGCTGTCCGAGCAGACGATCCGCTCCGCAGGAGACCACGCGAGGTTGAAACAGCCCCCCCTCCCCGGGGAGTCCGAAGCATCAGCGCACGCCCGCATCTCCCAGGAGCAGTTCGGCACAGCGGTGCCTTCCTCCTCCGACCACTTACTCTGCCACGCGGCGAAGTTGCGGCAAAATGCTACGTTGTCCCCTCCGCCGGGGGCAGAACTAAAGAATTCGAGCGGCCGAGCGGGTCCTAGAGAGCCCGTCTGTTCGGCTTCTGCCCCTTGCGCCCGCAGTTCGGCGGCGTGCGGGTGGCTCCTCTGGACTCGCTGGACGAGCTCCTCGTTGAGGCGGCGGCTCTCCTCCAGAAGCGGGCTGACCGACCAGGCGGGCGGAGTCGCCGCTACTTACGGGAAAATGCCGGGCTCCTCGGCAACCCTGGTGTCGCGGAGCCCTTGGTGGAGGCACTGCAGAAAAGAACCAGCAGGGGAGTCAAGGAGGCGGAGGAGGCGGAGGAGGAGGAGGAGGGAGGGCTTACGAGCAAAGTGGGCAACGGCCGGGTCAACTTTTTGGCTAAGCTGAACCTGCTCGCCGTGCAGCTCGCGTTTCCACACTTCACTTTCAGCAGAGCCGACCTCCTCAAACGGATGTCGTTCACAGCCGTGCCAAACCGGATTTGGCCGATAATTGCGAAAGCTGTACCTTCCGCCACAGCCGGCGGCTGGTAAAGGGTGGGCGCCGCGCCGTGCCACTCCGAGCGCAGCGTCCAAGTGCTCGCTGGGGCTGAGACCCCGCGACTGCACGGTATCATACACATGGCGGGGCTGCACGGCGACAGCGGGGTCGCCCCGCGACCCACGGTGACGGCGACGCCCTCGCCGGGCACAGCGTGCCCGGGGGCTGCCGGCACGAGAGCCAGCAAGTCCGCGTTTGAGCTCAAAGTCTGAAAACTCATCGCGCCCAGCGGGGCTCGAGGAGCAAGGGGCGAGGAGGCGAGGGCGGGGGCGGGGGCCAGGGGGGGGCGGAAGGGATGACGGGGCCTGATCACTGCTCAACGCTACATGCGACGCAGGGCGCGCACACGAAGAATCACTCGCGAGCTGGCAGCGGCCACCCAGTCCACCACCCAGCGGGGCGCCCCGAGCTGGGGGGGAGCATGCAGGAGAGGAAGCAGGGAGAAGGGAAGGATCGGCGCTGGACAAACCTCCCTTTAGTAGACCTCCCCTTAGCGGCCTGGGATCGAAACCGATGGACCTGGACCCGCAAAAATGACGGCCGCGACGCCCTCCCGCGAACCGAAAACAGCCAATTCACTAATCGACGTGTCAGGGTAGGAGGTCTGTCCAGCCCCGAAAGGAGGGGGGGAGGCGGGGGCCAAAGGAGCGGGCGAGCCCTGGTCTGCGGTCAACTGCACATGCGGAGCACCGCCCCGAGGCAGAGAACCACCAGCGACCAGGTCGCTGTCGCTGGGGCAGCGGCCCAGCGCGGCGCTGCAGCGGCCGCGCCCTCACTGCCACGGACACGGGCCAAGGTTGGCCTCTCACTGGCGGCCCGGGGGCCCGGCGGGGCCTCCCGGGCGCCCTCTGCGGACCCACATGAGAAAATCACGACGGAAGGTTTTTTTATGTTTTCCGCCCCTTCGGGACCGTCGAAAAACAACTCAGGATGAAAACCCGGTCCCGGCGAATAGGTCTGGACCTCTGGGGGTCGCGTCATGAAAAAGTCATGACGTCGGGGGTCTGGGGAGGGGAGCGGGAGCGCTCGCGGCGCGGCTCCGGCTGGTCACGGCCCCTGTGGCCCGCGTCCCTGCGCACGAGCTCCCGGCCGCTGGATTCCAGGTGCGGCAGGCAGCGCCGCATGGCGCCTGGGCCCGCCGTGGGGCAGAGCGGGCACCCGTGGCGGTAATTACGCGCACCGGCTGCCGCTCGTGCATAGTGGCCGCCGGAGAGGAACCGCCGGCAGGGGAAGGGGCCGGTCCTGGCGCTCCCCCCGCCGCTGCCCTGGCCGGCCCGGCCCCGGCGGACCCGCGCTCCGTCCCGATCTCGTTCTGGCACCGCGTCCACTGAGGGACCAGTCTTAAGTCGGGCGTGTTCCCCTACAGGGGGATGGTCGACGAAAAAAATGCCCCCCAAATAATCAAAAAATTATATAAAAATAGTCTGGGGACTACTTTTTGAGTATTTGTTTGCCTTTTTGGTGCATTTTGGGGGTATTTTTTTTCGTCGAAAATCCCACTGTAGGGGGACACGCCCGGCATAAACCCAGTTCAGGGCGTCGCCCCAGGAGGCGCGGCCCAGTAGGGCAGCGGCCCAGACGCGCGGCAACTCCCGGCACAGGGTCTGCGCCAGCGGGCGCTGGAGCCGGAGCGCGTCCGCCACCTTTGGCGGAGGCGTCTGGAGGAAGCGCCCAGACTTGCGCGCCGCAGCGGCGGCGCGCAAGGCGGACTCGTCCGGCTCGAGGCTGCGGAGCGGTTCGCCCTGGCCGGCGGCCTGCGCCAGCTTCCTCGGCTGGTCGGCCGGGTCGTGCTCCTGCGTCAGCTCCTGCAGCGTCTTCGTGTCCTGCCTGCAGGCCGCCGCGAGGACCTGCCCGAGGAGGACGTTGCTCGCCGCCGAGCCCTGCACGGGGGAAGCCCCGATCCAATCCCCTGGCGGGCGGTCGGCGGGAACCTCGGGCCGGGGCTGCGGCCCTGGGGCGACCGGGTGGCCGAGAGCCCCCAGAAGCTCTTGATTTGAGTCGGGCGTGTCCCTCTACGGGGGGAATGCTCAAACACAGTAAAACAAAATCGTCTGGGAACGATCTTTTGACGACTATTGTTGAGTATTTGGGGGGTATTCTTGAGCAGTTTCCATATAGTTCGCCCGAACTCCCCCATGTAGGGGGACACGCCCGACGTAAGCCCAGGCTGGAGGGGCACGCCTCGAGGAGCGCCCTGGGCGCCCACGGCGCGGCCAGGTCCTTGACTGCAGCTCCTTGGCGCCGCCCTCCGCGCGGCCGGCCTTCCGAAGGCCGGAGGCCCGCTGCTTTCCAGCGCCCCTCGGCGGCGAGCTCCGCCGGCAGCGTGGCCCTCCACCCAGACGTCGGGCGTCCCGGCAGAATCGAGACAAAGGTTTTTCCTGGTTTTCGGCCTCTGGAGGCCCTCGCCGGGCCTCGGGACCGTCAGAAAACGACGCGGGCTGAAACACCGGAACCCTGGGAAGTGGTCGGGAGGTTGGGGGCCCGTGTCTCGAAAAAATCGAGGCGTCGGATGTCCGGGAACGCCGTGAGCGTGGCCGGCATTGCGTCGCCGGCGCCCGCGGCCAGCACCACGGGCGACAGGAGCACCAGCCGGCCCTTCCTGCAGGTGCGCCTCCGGGCGCGGGTGCCGGGCCGAGTGGCGCTCCAGGCTCCTGTGCACCTTTCGGGCCGGACGAAAGGGGGGGATTGAGAAAGGGGGGGGTACGAAATTTGCTGCATGCAGCTGGTTTCGGCCTCACCGATGGGCCCATTCCTCGATATATGGGCGCCTCCCGGCGCCGGGAGGCGCCGGGAAAATCAGCTACGTGAGCTGATTCTCAACCCCTCCTTTGCTATCCCCCCCTTTCGCCCGACCCGAACCTTCACCTTCCGCCATGGATGTGTGAGAGTGGGGACTGAGGGAAGAAAGTAAGACCGGGCAGTAAGATCGCGAAGACAAGCTGTCCCCCCTGATCCGAAACTGCTGCAGCGGCGCAGGGGGGGGAGAGAGAAGCAGAGGGCAGGAAGTCAGCACATGCATGGGGCAAGCAGTGCTAACTTCGTTTCACCTTCGTGAACCAGCTTGTTGGGACCCTCTTACGCCGTCTTGGGGCTCTCGTGGGTTGGCCGTATGGTGGGTGTCTGATGGCCGTCGTGGTGCCGTCTCGGGCCGTCGAATGGCATTATGAGGCCGTTGTGGGTCCCACGCGAGGCCTTCTTAGGCCGTCGTTGTTTCTTGGTGCGTTGCCGCCTCGAGAGCGCGAAGCGGCAGCAGTTTACGACGGATCGCGGCCTCGGGCGTGCGACTTTGTCGCATTTGAATCGTGGCCTCGAGAGTGCGACCCCGTAGAATTTTTGACGGGTTGTGGACTCGAGGGGGAGGGGGCTGTGCATGCGGCGCAGCGTGGCGAGAGATGAGCCATGGAAGATGCCAGAAACCCTACCAGACAGCACTTGGCACTCTAGCACGCCCCAACGTGCTAAGGGGGCACGGTGGCGGATACGTTGACGTAGCCAGGGGCCTGGGCCATGACCGGAGAAGGGCTTGGAGGACACACCGCGCGCTCGCTCACGACGGAGCGCCGATGCGATGGAAGCGCATCCGTTTTGCACATGGCGTTGTTCTTGGGGCAGGTCATGTTAGAGTGCACCTCTGAACATACTCGCCAGAGAGGGGGCGATGCTATATGTATTGCTAGATACACACGTCTATATATACACACATGTGTGCACGTAAATTGATATATGCGTGTATACATTATATAAACATACATATAGGTATGTGTGTATATATATATGTATGCGTGTGTGTATGCATGTGTGTGTGTGTGTGGGTGCCGACGCGCAGTTTGTTCCGATGCGCGGCCTTCTGTCTTGGGGAGGGCGCCGCGGTCACCAGGGCTTGGGTCGGGCCCAACCCAGCTAAAAGTGGCGTTACCTTTGTGTTATAGATATCATATAGGCGGCCACAGGATGGGCACCAAATCGTCACCATATTGAGGGCCGTGGTGACATCGCCAGGCTGGTGCGAAGAGGCCCAGATACAAATTGTGTTAGATCAAACGAGAAAAAGGGAGGAGTGGGATGAGGGAGGAGCAATTGGAGGGGGGAGTGAGAGATGGGGGATGGGGAAAGGACGACGAGGGCAGGGGGCAGGGGTGCACATACCGGGGCAGATGGCGTCGCATGAATCTCGGAAGCACCGTCGAGATGAAATGCCACTCACCGCGCCGTTGGGTCAAGTTCGGCACTGGATTCGCCAGTGTCGGTGCCTGTGGCGTTCCGCTGGTGCCAGGGGTGTCGGGCCGGCAGAACATATTTTTGTCAGCCCCAGCTGGCGGTCACCACGGATTTTCGCCAACCCTGTAAAAAATGGGGCTGGCAAAAAATCGGTGGCCTTGTTTGGCACCACGCGGGGGGGGGCCAGCACAAATATTTTTGCCAGCCCCTCCCCGCTGGCACCATGCGGGGACGGAACCGATGGCGGCGTCCAGGCATCGTTCCTGTTCGGTTGCCCGGGGCTCCGCCGGAGGCCAACCCAGGCATCAGGAGTATCCCAGGGGGTGCAGAAGCATCGGGATTTCAAGGAGTGCATGCTTCAGGCGATCCACAACTAGAATTGTAAGCGCCAACTCTCACACAATGCCCATGCACGTCCCACTTCTTCTCTCCATCATGGCCCGCGCCTTGGCATGAGCATCTGAAGACCAACGCGCGCCTGGCAACTTATGTTTGGTGACCGTCCAGATCTTGCCAGGCATGCGGTGTCACCGCGCTACCCCCCAAGGTATAGCTGGGTTGGGCCCGACCCAAACCAGGTAACACGCCGCCTCGGACGCGGTGGGTTCGCCGTGGGTATGCCGCGGTGCCGACGTCGTCTACTTGGGCGCGGGGCGCAGGGCTTGCCATGGGTTTGCCGTGGTGTCGACGTCGTCCTTTTGGGCGTGTCAAGAGCAAACAGCGCGGCTACGCACACACACATTCACACACATATGTATATATATAGAAATTTATGTAACGAGATGTGTATACATATATATATATATATATATATATGTATGAACGTGTACGTGCATGTGTTTATCAGTAGTTGTACATGTGTATATATATATACATACATACACAGCCCGCGTGTACTGGCAAACGCGTCTTAATTTCATGCGTGCCGATGCACAGGCGGTTTCGGTCGACGGGTCAGGATTTGCCGTCTTATTCGGACACTGTATTCACGCGCGCGAATCTCATCGCCGTTCCCTCCGCGTTCAGTCGCAGTGTGAAGGTTCGTCTGATCACGACGGCCACTGTCTCGGCGAGGCGGCCTTCTCAAATATTTACGCAAGCAGGCAGGTTGGCATTCCTCGTGCGGTTTCGGGGTGACACGTGTCACCCTGGTGCTTCCTCATTTGCATGCACGGGAGATCCCGGCCCCGGGCCCCTGGGCCCCCCTCCCTGGGGCCATCTCCAGGCGGCGGCCCCCCGAGGCCCCGAGACAGCTCAAGATCGCTCCCAGAGCGTCCAAGAGAGCCTCTGAACACCCGGGAGGCTCCCAAGACGCTCCCAGCCTACCCCAGGAGCGCTCCAAGACGGCCGCACGTGACATCCCGACGGCCCACGAGACGCCCCAGGAGCCTCGCGAGGCCCAGATCGTCCAATTCCCGAGAGCAAGCGTACATTTTCACCACATCCATTTTTGTCAGTCTTCACCGCGTCGGAAACAACCCCTTCAAGACGAGCCAGGAGGGCTTCGATACGGAAGAAGAACGTTCGAAGAAGCCCGAGATAGTTTCAAGTAGGCCCAAGCGGGTCCTTGAACGCTTTCAAAGCAACAAAAGGGACCCGCCGAAATCATCTATTTTATATTGGTTCTCAACAGTGTTCGCGTTGTCTGTGTTATGGTTTTTTATTGCACCAAGACAGCCCAAGAGGCCCCCGTGACGGCCCGACCACGACCCAAGAGAGCGCCAAGACGGCCCAAGAAGCCGCCAAATCGGCCCAAGAGGTTTTCAAGACGGCCCCAAGACATGGGCAAGAGCGGGGACCCAAACGGACATTTCGAACCCAGACGCCAAGAGCCCCAGGGAGGCCCCCGAGACACCCACAAGAATCCCCAATAGGCCACCAGGAGACCCCCAAGAAGCCCCACGAGGTCCCCCCACAGAAGCCCCAAAGAGCCCTCCAAGAGAGTCCCCCCAAAGGTATCCAAATAGATTCCCGGCATGGTTTTGCCAAGCTCCCAGGGGCTTTCGGGCATCCCCAGGCTGCTATGGGTTCTCCTCTTGGCTGCCTTGCGCGCTTCCTGGAGCCTGCATGGGCGCCTGCAAAAAAAACAGCTGGGGGATTCGCCCTGCACGCGTACCTATGTCGCGACGTCGTGCTGGACGTCGCCTCCGTGAGAAGAGTGAGCCGCGTCATCTGTCTTGTACCGTGTGTCGTGCAACATCTTAACACTTCCCTTCAATTCGTAATACGGCCCACGGGATCCCCAAGACGGCTTCCTCTGCCCCTGGCAGCCCTTAAATGATTTGAATTCCCCCTACCATTGACCCCCAGGGTAACCAAGGGACCTCCAAAGGCATCTCCGAGATAGTGCGAGGGGCTCTCGAAACGGTCATGAGATCTTCAAGACCGCTGAAGACGGCCCACGGGCCACGAGCCCCCCGAAGCCTCCCAAAAGTTACTTTCGGGCAGCCGCTCGGTGTATCTGCTCAAGGCAACAGGATCTCTTTGGGGGCTGCTTATTCAGCAACTCCTGAAGCGTTCATCAGGAAGTACGCTCCCATCTGATGATCCTTGTGGGACGATGTCCATCCTCATCCGGTCCTGTGACGTTGGCTTGGGCTGCGCTAGAACCTAAGCGCGCGAAGCGCGCGTAGCTCTAGTATCCACATCTATATATGTGTGTATATATAATGTTCACTCACCCCGCACAAGAAACACCAACCATATAGAGAAAGAGGGAGAGAGAGCGAGGGCGATGTATATTTAGGTATATGTAGAGAGAGACATACATATTAGAGAGTAGAGATGGGGTCTGACGGGATCCTCCTCCTCTTCTCCCCACGGTCGCCAGGAGCGCGGCGAGAAGGGCAAGGGCAAGGGCAAGGGGAACGGCGCGCCAGGCTTCGACGACCCCCCCGCCTTCCTCTTAAGCCGTCTTCCTCCCACTTCTCCGTCATCCCTCCTCGTCCTCCCGTAGATGGACGAACAGATGGAAGCCTTGACTCCGCCCCCCTTCCCCCAGATTCAAAGTTGGTCCCAGGCCCCAGGCATTCGGCAGCACAGGTGTGCGAGGATTAAGGAAAGTGGAACCCCGGGGGCCTTCTCGAGGCCCGACCCAACTCTGAATTTGGGGGGAAGGGGGGGGGGCGAATACGGGGTTGAACCTGAAGGCGCTCCACCTTTTGTCCTCCTCCTCCTCCTCCTCCTCCTCCTTCTCCTCCGCCTCCTCCGCCTCATCCACCTCCTCCGCCTCCTCCTTCTCCTCTTCCTCCGCCTCCTCCTCCTCCTCCTCCTCCTCCTCCTTCGGTCCCTTCCCATCCAGGGGCTCGTCACATGCAGCGCGCACGGCTTCGGGCCCCGTCTTGCGGGTGATGGGCACCCGGGCTTGGGGTGTGTGTGGGCCCTTTCGCCCCCCGCGGGAGGAGGAGGAGGAGGAGGAGGAGGAGGAGGAGGAGGAGGAGGAGGAGGAGGAGGAGGAGGGGGGGGGGCGAATACGGGGTTGAACCTGAAGGCGCTCCACCTTTTGTCCTCCTCCTCCTCCTCCTCCTCCTCCTTCTCCTCCGCCTCCTCCGCCTCATCCACCTCCTCCGCCTCCTCCTTCTCCTCTTCCTCCGCCTCCTCCTCCTCCTCCTCCTCCTCCTCCTTCGGTCCCTTCCCATCCAGGGGCTCGTCACATGCAGCGCGCACGGCTTCGGGCCCCGTCTTGCGGGTGATGGGCACCCGGGCTTGGGGTGTGTGTGGGCCCTTTCGCCCCCCGCGGGAGGAGGAGGAGGAGGAGGAGGAGGAGGAGGAGGAGGAGGAGGAGGAGGAGGAGGAGGAGGAGGAGGAGGCCTTTGATTTTTTTTTTTGTCGTCTTTTTTTTTTCCTTTCTTTTTTCTTTATTTTTGTTTTCTTTGTGAGGAGGGAGGAGGAGGAGGAGGAGGCGGACGGAGGAGGAGGAGGAAGGAGGAGGAAGAGGAGGAGGCGGAGGAGGAGCGAGGAGGAGGAGGAGGAGGAGGAGGAGACGGAGGTAAAGGGAGGAGGAGGAGGAGGAGGAGGAGGAGGAGGAAGGAGGAGGAGGAGGAGGCGGAGGAGGAGGAGGGAGTAGGAGGGGGAGGGGGAGGAGAGGAGGGAGGAGGAGGAGGAGGAGGAGGAGGAGGAGGAGAGGATGGAGGAAGGAGGAGGAGGAGGAGCGGACGGAGGAGGAGGAGGAGGAGGGGGAGGGGGAGGGCGGAGGAGGCAGGAGGAGGAGGAGGGCGGAGGAGAGGAGGAGGAGGAGGAGGAGGAGGAGGAGGAAGGAGGAGGAGAGGAGGAGGAGGAGGAGGAGGAGGAGGAGGAGGCGGAGGAGGAGGAGAGGAGGAGTGGAGGCGGAGGAGAGGAGGAGGAGAGGAGGACGGAGGAGGAGGAGGAGGAGGCGGGAGGAGGAGGAGGTAGGAGGAGGAGGAGGACGGGGGGAGAGGCGCAGGGGAGCGGGGGGGAGGGGGACGGGGGAGGGGGAGTGGAGTGGAGCTGGAAGCACACGGACGTAGTCCGTTCGGAACCCAGAGATGCCAGGGGGGCCATCCAATATTTCTCGGAGGGCCGTGGGGGGCGACATCCCACGGCACACCGCGACAGGCCCCCCTGGCCTCACAATTTACTCGGAGGCAGCACCCGCCGCGTAGGAACCGATCGCGGCTTCGGCTGCCGAAACGTGCAACGCCTCTAGAACTGACTTGCTGGGACCCGATCTGGACGGGTGGAGGCCTCGCCTGATCCTGCTGAGGTTTTCGAGGCCTTTGCCAGTGGGTCCCAGGGCCCTGCGCTCTCCCACTTGGTGGGAGAGAGGGCAAGGCAAACGTAGGCTTTTAACCTGGTGCGTGGCCGTATGGCCGCACTTCACACAGAAGAACATTTGCCACTTGGGGATGGTGGCCAAAGTGTGGGAGGGGTGTACCGCCTTGCCACTGATCACGCGGGGACCCCGCGACCACAGCACCTCGCCACACGCAGCAAACTCGGGAAGGGGGCAAGGCGGTACACACTCCGTGGCGGCAGCTGGAATAACGTGGCAAGCGTCGACGATGATGAGGCAGGCAGAGCATCGCCATTTGTCTGCACACCGCTCGAATTTGTGCTGAGAAGCCGCGATCGCGGTCTGCAACAGAGAACGAGGGGCTGCCTCCTGGGTGGGCTGCCTCTCTGGCCACAGTCCTCGAGGCTCTGAATTCTTGCCTAAGGAACGTGGGATCAGTCGTGCCCTCTGACGGACAATGGCTGCGATAGCATCGTATTCATCGGTCCTGGGGACAGGCGGGAGGGCAAGGGTGGCCGACTTGTGGGCCGCGCTTCCCGCGAGCTCGTCGGCTTGCTGGTTGCCGAGAGCAAGACATTTTTGGAAACCATGCAAAGTCTGGGGATCGGCGCGAGATGGGGCCCAGAGCACCGTGACCGAGGAGCCGCCGCCAGGTCGATCCTGCACGAGGTGCCGAATTCTCAGCCAGAGATCTAGGTGATCTGTAACAAACGTGAAATCTTGCTGGCACGTCTCAAGTGCCAGGCAAAACGCATGCAATTCGCCTCTTGGGACGGTCTGGCGGGGGCCTGGGAGGGGGGCAAGGAGGCCCGCGTGGAGGGTCCAGGAGGCCGAGGGAGGGTCCCATCGGAGGGCCGCGAGGCCAGAACCAACTCGCCGTCGCCTGACGTCGTCGGAAAAGGCTCCGCCAGACCCGTCACCAAAAAGAAACAACTCGCCCTCAGCGTTACGAGCTCCTTCCCACGACGGCAGTCCCTCCCGCACCGCACCAGCAAATTCCCACCCGTCCCTCCCAGTCAATGGCTCGAACGCGGGCGTAGTGAGAGCGACAGAGGGAATGCCGCGGAGCCACAAGGCGGGGTCGGCATCGACCCCCGCCACGGCTCGCGGTAGTAACTTGTCACTGGCCTCAAACTCGGGTCCCACATTCGCCTCGCACTGCCACATTCGGTGAAACAAGGTTTCAGGAACTCCAGCGCTGCATCGGTCGCAGTTCTTGTCGATCTGGTAGCCCGCGTTGTGGAGGCGGTCTCTGATCCATTGCCCTCCGCTGATGATGGTGTCGTTGAGGGCCCAGTCGCTGAAGCCACCGTTTGCGAGGAACCTCCTTTGTTCAATGCGGATAGTGACCATGTCTGCGCCTCCAGCCAGCGTGTCACCATGGGCATGCGTAGCGGCCTGGGTCCAGAGGAGCCTGTGTAAATCCTCGCTGAGGTCCTGCAATACTGTGTGGATGTCGGCGTCGAGGAGGTCAGGGTCGTCGGCAGGGGGGAGGTTCCACTCCTCTATGTAGCCGTCCTTCGTACGCCTCCACGTGGTAGCTGAGGTCGGCTCCCAACTGGCCTCCAGCAGGGTCGCGATGGCCGCGCCTGTGGGCCCCTTGACCTTGCACCGCAGCTTGGGGCCTGCGGCGAGCAAGGTTTTCTTGATCCTTGGCCAGGCTCTGATGATCCTGGCGTGCGTGCTCGGGTGGCGTATCCAGTGCTGAAGCCATGCCTCGATGAATTCGATCCTTAGGGAAACTCCTGGGTCCATGCCGTCAAAGGTGGCGCCGAGGAGGGAAGTGAGGCATCGGCCCGCTGCTGCTCCCGTGGCAGCAATGGCGGCCTGACGCCGCCATCGTAGTAGAGCGTGCCGAGCGAGGCCGTGCACCTGATGTCCGAATACTCCTTCTGGGAGAGCGCCAGTGCGCCACAGTCCTGCTGAGATTCGGGCCTGCTGTGCTGTGCTCCGTAGTCGGTGTATCTTGCGAAACCTAGCTGTGGCTGAGCTCTGTCGCTTCCTGGCTTTGGCTTGTACCCGTCGAGTAGCCGCAGCCGCGTCAACTCCGAGGTCGACGGCCGTGGCGGTCGCAGTAACTGGGATGTCGTATTGCCGCATCTTCTTGGCTAGCGATTGGCGGACCTTGGGGGTGGAACCGATGAGGACAGTCTTGTCTGAGACAGGCAGCTCGAACTCCTTTAAACCGTCGCAGAGCGTCTTGGCGGCACGGGGGAGGTGCTTCTGTAGAGCACGTAGGACTCCTTCGACTCGAAGAACAGTGTCGTCTACGAAGGTCCACATCTGGGCAAGCTCTGCCTGAGCTTGGGCTTGCCGTAGAATTGGTAGTAAAATGAGTCGTGCCAATGTGGTGCCGTGAGGGGAGCCTGCAATGATGCCTTTGGAGGCGAAGATAGGCATACTCACCCATTGTCGACTGCGCATGACAATCGGGGGAGCTGGTTTTGCTGCACTTCAGTATTGATGATCAGGGGAAAGACGCAGTTGTGGGATGGTGTGATGAGTGAGAGGGCCTTTATTTTGTCGTAGTATTCTTTCCACGAGCGCCTTGCCACTAGGCCGAGCTGGATTGCCTAGGAGTCGCAAGGCAGCCTTCCTTCTATGGCCTATGTTGGGCGGACTCTGTATCCCGTCGTGGCTCTATGTGCCGGTGTGGGTGCAATGGTCACCCTTATTCTGATTCGTTTTATTTTGTTTTTTACAGGTCTCGTTTTTTCCTTCTTATTTTCTTCTTGCCTCTATGTAATTCTTGCTTTTGTGTTTCTATTATTCCTTTTTTCCTTTCTTTCTTGGCTCCTTTGGTGGCTTTGGAGAGCTGAGGAGCCTTTGATGGCTGTAGTCCAAAAGTCGTCCAGACCTTGCGTCCAGGCTGCCGATGCAGTCGATCTAATGCGAGACCAGAGTCTGGCCATATGAGGTAGCATGCCGAGGACCCTGTCGCCTCCAGACTCCTTGGCGGCGAGGGCTGCAATAGTGCCTGAAATTTGTAGTGGTCAGATGCCTGCTTGCTCTACTGAGTTGAGGATATCTGCATAAGCTTCAACTGCTGGTTCTGGTAGTCGATGGAGGTCGCGAGGTCCTAGGGCGTCAACTCCGTGTGCTTTACTGGGTGGCATGCGGCCGTGAAAGCGGTGTACGATCTCGGCTGCGATGGGCTCGAGCGGTTGACGAGCGGCTGCTGCCTTGGCCTTTGACAGGGTCTGTAGGATGTCGTCGGGGGTCTCGGTGGCTTGCCATACTTGTTGCCATTGTTGCTTCTTGTTGTCCATGATAACGGTGGGGTCGGCGATGGTCAGGTTGGTCGTGTAGGCCTCGATGCGACGTACAGGCGCTGGCTTGACATGGGCGTGTAGTACTCCAGGGCGGTGCTTCCATTGCTTGGCGAGCCAAGCCCCGTAGGCCCTCTTGGACTTGGCGAGGGCGGCGGAGAGCGCTCTGGAGGCCCAAGTAGCGGTGATAGTGACCACGTCGTCGGTGTCATCCTTGTCCAAGCGCGGGGCCCAGACGAGTGCAAACCAGCGGAAGATGGTGTCCTCATCCTTCTCGAACTGGAGGTCGTGCAAGTGAGTGTTGAAGTGGTCCGCGCGCTGCTGGATGATGGAGGCCTGCTGCTGCATGAGCGCTGTGTGCTTGGGCTTGTCGTGGAGCGCAGCGTAGCGCTTGATGAGGGTGAGCGTGATTGCCCACCATTCCGACTGAGGGTCATGTACGTGTACGCGGCCTGGGGCGGCGGCTGTCTTCTTCCAAGATAACTGGTAGCCTTGGGCTCGGCCTGTGTATGCTGCGGCTTCCTTCGGGTCGATCTGGTGGTGGCTGATCATGGTGTTCTCGAGCGCCGTGACCCATTTGGCGTACTTGGGGTTGAGGTCGTCGGCGTCGTGCACCCAGTGTCTGTACACGAAGTGCGCGTGAGGCTGCTTACAACGTGTGGGTACCGCTTCCTGCCATTGTTCTTCCCACAAGTCCATCGGGATAGCATAAGGGATGGGTTCCTGTGCTGCGGGCTCGTCTTGTGGCTGGAGTTGTGCTGCTGCTTGTTGGAGTTCAGGAGGTAGATCGCGTAGGCGTGCTGCTCGAGCTTCTGCTGTTTTACGTTTCTTAATGGCGGTCTTGCTGTTGGGGTCTGGTGGGATCCTGGGTCCGTCCACTGTAGGGAATGCCCTGGGAGTATGGATCGACTGATACCACCAGGGGTCTGCGCTGCCTGCTCGAACTTCAAGGCCAACATGGGTGGCCCAGGGTACGGTGGGGCACTGGCGAATGGAGATCGTGTGCTCGATGCCAGTCTTGACCAATGCGAAATCAAGCGTGAGTCCCTGGCCCTTGTCGCACGTGGCGGATCCAGGCGCTCGCGCGATGGTAGCATTCCATTTGGCGAGCCACTCTGTCGCTGCGAGCTGCTCAGGTGTCATATTCCAATCGGCCAGGATGATCCAAGGGTCCGTGAGCATAGTAACGAAGGCTCCCAGCGAAAGTAGCTTATCGTGCACTGCACCCTCGATCTGCCTGTGGGGTTCCAGATACGCTGCAATAACGACCAGGTTGCCAGAGCGTCTGTGCCATACCATGGGCGCGAAGCCGCGGAACGGGTCGGGCCTGCGCTGGGAGATGGCAAGGTCACGGAGGTGGTTGAACGTGGTGGCCTGGACGTGGTACCTGGAAAGGATGATCTCGCCACCCGTGTTGCCTCCGTCTGATCTGCTGGTAGGCGTGGCCGTAGTCGATGATATCCTCCAACCGTCCGCTGCTAGCTTGTCGTAGATGAGCGGCGCTTTTCCAGGCGAGATGTGTGTTTCAACCAATGCTACCATCTGATATTGTTTGCCTGGCCCTGCCAGCCATTTCTCCGACTGTGGCCCCCACTGAGTAATGTTGGAGAAGAACAGGGAGTGATCTGACAGCGTGGGCTTCGTAGGGCATTCGTCTTGGTAGGCGGGTCTGGGGTCGGCTCTCGGGCTGCTGGGCTTCCATGAGCCTTTCCCTGCGGTCATGTCGACAGCTTTCGCCATCTCATCGCCCCCTACCAAGGACTGCGTCTTGGGCGGGGCGGCATCAGGGTTTGCCTTTGGCGAAGGCTCCCCTGGTTCCTGTGCCACATGCATGTCGACAGCTTGGGCCGTCTCATCGCTCCCTACCGAGGACAGCGTCTCGGGCGGAGCGGCATCAGGGTCGGCGCGCGCATCACGCTGCGGCTGCCCTGGGTCCCATGCCACGGGGTCGACGGACTGTGCCGCCTCATCGCCCCCTACCGAGGACAGCGTCTCGGGCGGGGCGGTAGCGTACTGATCTGTGACTGCGAAGTCGATGTGGGCGTCCAACTCGGCCAGCTCGTCGAACGGGTCGAGCCCCCCCCCCCCCCCCCCCCCCCCCCCCCCCCCCCCCCCCCCCCCCCCACCCCCCCCCCCCCCAGGTCGAGGACTGCGTCCATTGTATTGATGATCGGTGGGTTGTCATAGCTCTTGGTCTCTGACGGTAGGCGTCCCGTCTCACCATTCCGTCCAGGGTCGGGTTGTAGGCGGCTAAAGAGGCTGCTGCGCTCCAGCCGCGGCGGTCGCAGTGGGCTTGCGCACCTGGCTGAGCATCTTCTGTGCCTTGTCTTCGAGGTCGGGGTCCTTGTTGATCGCTGGTACAGGCTGTGTGGCATAGCTGCCGTCAGAAGTAGCGCCAGCAGCAGGTGCGGGGGGAAGGTGAGGGGGAGGGGTGGGGGGAGGGGGAGGAGGAGTGGAGGAGGAGGAGGAGGAGGAGGAGGAGGGAGGAGGTGGAGGAGGAGGAGGAGGAGGAGGAGGAGGAGGAGGAGCAGGAGGGCGGGGGCTGCTCGTCCTCTCGCTCGCTCCTCGGCCCCTCATCCTCAGGGGGCAGCGCCTCGTCGCCACGACCCGCTGGCGCCGGCCGGGCGGGCCGAGCCTCTGGCCGCGGCAGCTCCTGGCCAGGAGGCTGGACCCCATCCAGCGAGAGGAGGAGGAGGAGGAGGAGGAGGAGGAGGAGGAGGAGGAAGAGGCGGAGGCGGAGGCGGAGGCGGAGGAGGAGGAGGAGGAGGAGGAGGAGGAGGAGGAGGAGGAGGAGGAGGGGGTGGGGAGGAGGAAGGGAGGAGGGGGGGGGGAGGAGTGCATTCACACATTCACATTAACGTTCACATTCACGTTCTCACATTCGCATTCGCACTCGCACCCACGCACACAGGTGGGGCGTGCCAGAGGAGAGCCTCGCATCCGAGGGTCGAAGGAGTTGCCATCTCTTCCCCGGCGGGAGGCGGCTGAAGGGCCGTGGACTGAGGCGGGAGTGAAGCTCGGAGGAGGAAACGGGAAAAGGCACCCATACTGCTGCCTTCTCCTGTTCTCCTTTTTGGGCCTCTTCGGCGGCGCTCGTCGCCACCGCTGGGTTCGCCTCGAAGTCCTGGCCAGAGCGCGCCCCGGGAGAGGCCCGGGGAGTGGCGGTATCGGTACCCTCTGGTTTCCCCCGAAGCGAGGCGGCGGAGGTAGCGCATGCGCCCCCAAGAGGTGCGGGCCGCTGGGGGGGGGGGATGCCGAGCTTCCGGGCCAGCGTGCACGCCGTTCGCAGGCTTTCGGCTCGCGGGCGTCGTGAAGAGGGCCTCTGCAAGAGAGAGAAGCAAGCGCGGCGTCCCCCCCGGGGCCGGCCAGGAGGAGGGGGGCCCGGTCTCAGAGGGTGGCTCTCGCCCGAGCGCTGGTCTCAGAAGGAGGGGTGCCTTCTCCTCCTCCTCCTCCTCCTCCTCCTCCTCCTCCTCCTCCTCCTCCTCCTCCTCCTCCTCCTCCTCCCCCATCTCCTCCCGGGCAGAGCCGGGGCCCGAGGTATGGGAACGAACAGTGACATCCGCATAGGAACTCGGAGGTCCGCGCGGGTTTTTTCTCGGATCGGCGCTGGGCCCCCCTTTCCCTGACGCGCGGAGCGCGCCAGGGGGCGGCGCTGGGGAGGCGCCGTCAGGGGGCCCCAGCGCGGATGCGAGAAAGAAGGCCGCGCGGGCCTCCGAGTTGGTAGGTTTCTGCCAGTCTGCCTGCCCCCAGAGAGGCCCTCTCTAGGACGAAAGGGGGGGATGGGGAAAGGGGGGGCTATGAAACTTGCTGCATGCAGCTGGTTTCGGCCCCACCGAGGGGCCCATTCCTCGATACATCGCCGCCTCCGGCGCCGGGAGGCGCCGGGAAAATCAGCTACGTGAGATGATTCCCCAGACATGCGACGTCCTGATTTTTTCAGGACGGCGTCCCCGCAAGTCCCGACCCTTTCTTCGGGACCAGTTTTTCGTCCTGAGTCATTTTTTGACGGTCCCGAGGCCCGGCGAGGACCTCTAGAGGGCGAAAATACCAAAAAACCGCCCGTCCTGATTTTTTTACGACGCCATCATGTCTGAGTCTCAAACCCTCCTTTGCTATCCCCCCGTGTCGCCCGACCCGAGAGGGCAGCGGCCACAGGGGCGGAGGGCGGGGAGGTGTCGGGCTCCGGCCCTCGCCGCAGCGCGCCGTGCGCGCGTGCGTCCTGGGAGCTCCCGGCCACGGGCCCGGAGGATCGCAGGCCGCTGTGGAGAGGTGGCCCGCGAGTTGGCCTTGCCCTGACTCCGGATCCGCCCTACTTCTGGGGAAATTCGTGAGTAGGGCTTGGAATTTCCGCCTTACTTTTCAAGCCCCGCTGATGCCAATTTCCGCCCTACTTTCCTGCTGCTGTTTCCGCCCTACTTCTGTGGGTTTCCGCCCTACTTCATGCTGGGTGCAGCAATCTCCGCCCTACTTTTTCCGCCTCTTACAGGTGGAATTCCGACGCAGCGTGAAGTTGGGGAAAAAAGCCAAAGTAGGGCGGATCCGGAGTCAGGGTAATTGGGGAGACGCAAGACTCGAGTAAGCCGGAACCCAGATTTGCCGACGTTTTTGACGAGCGCGTCCTGAGTTTTGACGGTCCAGTTTTCGTAGGACGTTTGCAGCATGAGCTCGCGTCAAATTTCAGATTGGGTCTCGTCATTTTTATGGTGGCCCCGTCAGGCCAACCCGAGTCCCCTGTACCCGAGTCTTACGTCTCCCCGACTTTCGTCGGGCGTGTCCCTCTACAGGGGGAAAATTCCAAATCAGTAAACAAATTGTCTGGCGACGATGTTTTGACTATTTTTGAGTTTTTGGGGGGTACTTTTTTGAGTATTTTTCATTTCCGCCCAAAATCCCCCTGTAGGAGGACACGCCCGACTTAAAGTTAGCCTCGCGCGCGTTTGTCTTAATGGGCCAGGCGTTGAGTCCGGCCTGTCCCTCTACAGGGGGAGTACTCAGAAATAGTCAAAAGATAGTCTGGGAACTATTTTTGTGCATCTTTTGACCATTTTGGAGCATTTCTGGTGTATTTTTGTGTCGAAAATCCCCCTGTAGGGGGACGTGCCCGACTAAAGCCAAGCGTTTTCACAGCTTCCGCACGGCAGTGTTACACTGTGCCAGAGTCACAAGGGCGGTGGCTTGCTTACATTCAAAAAAAGAGAGGTTCCCATTTGGGGGCTCTTGGTTCTTCTAGGCCGGAGTTGACATACATTTTGAGCAGCAGTTGTACGAATGTAGGGCGGCTTGTTATCAAAACGGGGCTCTCGCCAGGCATGTGCTTCAACTTTATGAGCAAGCCTCTTAGCACTTCTGCTGGCTAAATGGAGGGCGGTTCCTGTTCCACAGGGGCTCCAAGTTGCAAGGCAGGCTCATCGTCATTCAAAGGGAAGCTCCTCGCATTGGAGAGGAATGCTTGTAGGGACTTCTGGTGAGGGGACTTGGGAGGGCATGGTGTAGCACCCTGTGTATATTCTGGTCCCTTCCCCTTCTCCTATCGTTTGTCCTCCTTCCCATTGTCGTCGTCCTCCTCCTCGTATCCGGCCCCCTTTATCCACCTCTTCCTCCCCCGCATCCTCCTTCTTTTACTCCTTTTCCTCCCTCCCTTTGCGCTCTGGCAGTCGGGCGCATCTCCTCCAGTGTCTTGCGCGCGATGGGGCGCGACGCGGGACAAGGGCGTGGAGGAGGTCGCTCAGGCGGGCCCGTGGGATGGGTGTGCCAGGCGTGCAGCTACTACAACTTCGCCGAGCGCATGTGCTGTCGCTACGGATGCCAGGGGGGAGGCAAGCCGTCGCAGAGGGTCCTGGGCAGCTTCCTGCCGCAGGGGGCTCCAGGTCGTGGCGGTGCTCCTGCTGGCGCTGGCGGTGGCGGGCGTGGTGGGCGTGCCGGTGCTGGCGCGCCTGCGACCCGTGCGCCGTGGTGGCGTGGCGATGAGAGCGGAGAAGGAGGTCAGCGTGCTGCGGGAGTGGTGCTCAGTGACGATGAGCGTCGCGAGCTCGTCAGCATGTCAGATGGGCAGTTCGCCATCGCGACCAAGCTGTTCAGCGCGAGGATCAGGAACGAGCTCCAGCAGGCCAGGCGGCTGGTGCGCGAGGGGCTGGGTGACGACCTGTCCAAGGATAAGGCCGTCAAAGCCGCCCAGCTGCTGGCCGACGAGAAGGCGCAGAGGGTCAAGCGGACCGAGCACATGCTGGGGCTGGCCAGGGCGAAGGCGAGGGCGGCCATCAATGAGACGGCGGACCTCACGGAGAAGCTGGGGCAGCTGCGGCAGGAGCTGGCTGAGGCAGCCGCCAGAGCGCGCGAGGCGCTGGCGGCTCAGAGTGCCAGGGTGGCGGAGACCGCCGTTGCAGCTGAGGTGGCGACTGCAGCGCCCGCCACCCCTGCCTCCCTGCAAGAGGTCAAGGCGACGCTCGCAGGCTGGGCCAAGTCCAGCGGGGCGGCGGCGAACCCAGTGCTCTGCGGGGAGTTCGTCAAGCTGTCCGAGGCGGTCGAGAAGCTGTTCGAGTGGAAGAGCAAGGTGGCAGGGAAGGGTCTGGAGAGCCAGATCCTGTGCAGCCGCATCCTGCGGGGGCTGGCGCTGCTGCAGCCACGAGGGCATGGGCTGTGGCAAGGTCGGCTGCTGGGGCGGAACCTCGGCCGCTGTAGCCATCTCCTGAGGTGCAGCAGGCTTGGAAGGAGCTGGAAGAGCAGTTCGTAGACCCCGACAAGAGGAAGGCGGCTGAGGCCCCCATCAATGAGGCCAAGAAGATGCGCACGGGAGAGGAGGAGATGGACGCAGAGTCCTAGCAAGGGGGTAGGCGTCTGGAGGATCTGCACGGTCAATGTCAACGCGTTCAGCAGCCTGGGCAAGTGCTTGATGGTGCAGGAGGTGCAGAACTGTGACGCCATCTTGGTGCAGGAGACCAGGCTGCTGGAGGGACGGAGCGGGGATGCCGAGGCTCAGCTCCGTGGTCAAGGATGGCGGGCAAGGAGTTCGCCAGCGGTGAGGTCTGAGTCAGGGGGGCTCAGCACAGGGGGGCTCATCA